TGCCTCCCTGGTCCTGCCTTCCAGAAGGGCACGGGCAAGGGCAGGAGCAAGACCTCCCCAGGAAAGGTGAGCCCTGGCACGGCACCACGCTACCCGGCCAGCATGTTTGTACTTGTGCCCATGGTGCAGGTGGGTGGCCATGCCCAGTGGCTGCTGCCCGGCTGTTCCCTATGCCCAGGTGCTCCCGGTGCGGCTGCGAGCAGGCACCCACGCTGGCGAGGGCCGGGTGGAGGTGCTGCGCCACGGGCAGTGGGGCACCGTGTGTGACAAGCAGTGGGACCTGGCCGCAGCCAGCGTGGTGTGCCGTCAGCTGGGCTACGGGACAGCGAAGCAGGCCCTGGTGGGAGCCCAGATGGGCCAAGGTGAGGTGGGCGGCACGGCAGGGACTCAGGGTGCTGCTGGGCTTGGAGGGACACGATGGGGAAAGCCTCTGGTTTACCTGGTGCTGCTGGAGCATCCTGGGATGTCCAGGCAGCTCCAGCCTGCACTAGGATTGGGCTCCCAGGCTGCTCCTGCCACGAGCAGCCCCATTCCCATAGGGCCTGCCCAGACCGAGGGAAGAAGTGAAGGTTCTCTCTGCTCCAGGATGGGCACGGAGCAGGCAGCTCTGACCCTCCCTCTGCTTCAGGCCTGGGGCCCATCCACATGAGCGAGGTGCGGTGCACTGGCCACGAGCGCTCCCTGGGCGAGTGCCGCTTCCAGGATGCCGAGCGTAGCGGGTGCCGGCATGAGGCTGATGCCGCTGTCCGCTGCCATGTGCCCCATATGGACTTCCAGAGCCAGGTGAGCCCCTGCCTCCTCCCCACAGCCTGTGGAGCCCTAGCCCCAATGTACAGCCCCTGTCCCCCAAGCTCTCTGCCCAGTGTGGATGCTCAGAGCAGCCCCAGGGTTGCCCAGGAGGTGGGGGGATGCAGAGCAGCAGGGTGGTGGGGGTCAGCAGGATGAGCTGGTGGAATAAGTGTTCTTGTGGAGTGGAAAGTAAGAAGGTGGGGGAAAGCTTCAGCTGGATGCGTGGGGCTGCCTGTCCC